GGGGTATTCAGGGTTTGGGGTTTAGAGGCATGGGGTTCACAGTAAAGGAGCCCGACCTTCCTTTCGAATCTAAAGAGGCAACAAGCGCCCCTGCCAGGTTTCATGTGAGCTTATCCCTAAACCCTAAACCCTAGACCTTATCACTGCAACACCCAACCCCCTGGCCCCAGCCCCCCCTGCTTTCTTAAAGGGTTTTAGGGACTTAGGCGTTGGGGCCTGCTAGCAGGCAGGTAGATTCAGCAGCCCAAATCTCGCTGAAACTCATGTTGTTTTGACTCTGTTGGCCCGTTTTGAGGGTTTAAGGTTTTTGGCCCCCTTGAGCTAAAAACATGCCTTCATGTAATTATTTAGGCTCTCCCTCTTTCATGTTCATTGCTTAGGTCCAAGCCTGTGTGCACCCCGCCGCCCATCTGGCAGCGAAGAAGTCCCCACAAAACATACAAATACTCCCTTCTTTGATTCATGCACGGCAGACAGCCAGCAAGAGGAATACTGTCGAGTTGCAGCTCTTGTTTCAGAAGACCACTCTAGGTCGGGACATTACTGAACTTCCCTGTTCTTTAGAAGTGGACCTATCCATGAACAGCTTCAGGGGCCGACCCAGCCGCTGTTGTGCTTGTTTGATAGACCACATTTGAAAACCTAGGACGTAATCCTTCTAAGGTCCATGGGTCGCCAGTATAGGCCCTTAACCCTCCTTATATACCTACTACATACCCTATCTTTCCCTCCAATCCCCGTAAAAAGCCCACAGGGCCCGTACTTACCCTGCTGCAGGAATCAGACCAAGATCCAAGAGGCCCTGCTCTTCATGCTCCATGCAAGGCCCAAGGACTGCGGACATTAGAATTTAGGGATCAAGATATAACGTAATTTGGGGTTTACAGTTTAGAGAATAAGGTTTGGGGGTTTTAGGTTTCAAGAGCACTACTTAAGGATTTGGAGCACATGTTTTTGATTTCAGGGCTGGGTTGAGTGCTTCAACTACAAAAATGCCAGCAACTACATAACACTTCGCAAACCCTAAGCCAAAGCGCAAAACCGGATTGTTAAGGTTTGGCTTCTTCATGGGTAGTTCCCCAAATTAGGG